CGTCGAAGAAAGGAGAGTCCAAAGACCCGAGACATGGCTCGAGCAGACTTGAACACAAGATTAGAAATCATCATAAAAAAAAAGAGGATATGCCAAGTGGAATAAGAAACTGAGAAACGAAATGAGATTGGAAGAATGAAATTAGGGTTTATTTAGCAAGTATTAAGAAAGAAACTGAGAATCGAAGAGAGATTGGACGAAAGAGAATTAGGGTTTATATGCCAAGTGTTAGGAATTGCTCTATGATTAGGATTTGGTAAGGACATTATGCCAATGCCACGAGGTCAGATGAGCTAGACTTTGTTATGGGCTTGGTCCATGTCACCATCTCAATCACAAGTTTTGTATTTATGGCAAGTGCCAATCAAGTATAATGACGAAATTATGAAATTTGTGTTTTTTTTTCCAAAAAGTTACTAGTACTTAACATCACATCATTATTTTATTTTAATTCTTGTAAATAGTACTATTTAATTTTCTTTAAATGGGTTTAAAGGTTTTAAAACCAAACATATCACATATAGTTTTGTTCTAATAAAATTGTCGCCGCCACCAAAACCTCCACAATATTTGATGCTACAGAATTCGGCTAATCCATGCTACACACGAGAAGGAAAAGGGTATATAGGGAGAGTGAGCGTAAGAAGAAGTGAAATATCACACAACATGTTAGTTGCATTGATTTTGCTCTCTTGCTCCTTTTCTCTTATTTTCCTCCTCTTTTCGCACCATAGACCATCCTCAAAGCTCCTCTAAGCTCCACAAGCTCTTAAGGGATCCAAACCATATGAAATTAAGAAAAAACAATACAATATATACAAAATCATAATCCTAAACTCTAAAATTCTAAAGTAAAATAAATTAGGATAATATGCACCTAAAGGTGTAATTATGATACAAAATGAAAAATAAATGAGAGGAAAACTAAGCCTAAAAATGATTGTGTCATCACTTCATCTTGCTGTCTCCAAAAACTATGGCGCGTTCCTTCGTCTCGCCGACTCTGATGACTCTTGCGTGTTCAGTTGTTTCGTTGTTTTAGAGTCTTTTTGCTCTGTCGACTCTGGCAGTTTATTCATCTCTCCTTATGCTCTGACGACTCTGTCAGGTTACTTCATCTCTCTGTCTGCTCTGACGATTCTCACAGCCACGACTTTTCTCATTTCTTGCTACGCTTCTCCTCGCTGCCACCCAATCTTATCATTTCTCGCCGTCGCTTCACCACGTCGCCTTCGAAACACAACTTCGCAAGAAATCTCATAATTAGATTACGGTTTGAATATTTTGACTATAGATCTATACTTTTTCTGGTTTAATTGTAGATCTACACTTTCTTTCTCAACAAAAACATTAGATCTATACTTTGTTAAATAGTTATTCGACCTTTTTAATTTTTCGATTTGATGTTTATTTGATCTCTTCGTAGATGACACAACTTTTATGGCCCAATTTAGAAGACTTTTTGAATTTTGTCTTGCGATTACGTTTGACGCTTTAAAAGATTACGGTTAACGCTTTAGAAGTTGTCAAGTACTTTTGTACGAAACTATTTGGAATGGTTCATCTCCATGCTCTCTAAGCTTATTGCACCACTTCTCTTCGTGTTTATCACGGTCGCCTATGGAACTCGACTGCATTCTTTTCCGGTGATGAAGCAGAGGCTCTGACGATGGCTCAATTTTTTAAACTCGTCGCCAAATCTGTCAATGTTTTTAACAGGTTGATGAACTTAGTCACATAGTTCGTTGGAATGTTACGTACTTATTATACAATAATAGCATGCAGCATATTGTTTTCAAAAAATAAGGAAAAACATATGAAACTTTTTACAAGTACTAACATTACTTGTTAAATTATAGTGTATGTCAAATTTTAGAGTACAAATGAAAGCGAGATATAGGATTTAGCTAATTGTATATGATTGAATATTATGTTTATGTTTTCTTGGCATTTGTTTCTTAGTTTAATGATTTTTTATGTTTAAGTATTTATGTATTATTTTAATTTATCCGTAAAATTCAAAGGTGCTTTAGTATTTGTAAAAATTATCACAATTTGTTGTTATTAAAGTATATAGAGAGGCCAGAGCACTCATAGTGCGGTGGTCTATGTACCACCCTCTTGGCACCCATGTAAGGGGTTCAACCCCTCCTCCTCCCTCTGGAAACAAAATAGGCCAGTGGGCCGGCCCTTGTGGCCCACAAGATGACCAAAAAAAAAGTATATAGAGAGATGCGCCATGCGCCCGACAATAGTTGCAAATTAGTTAAATGAGTTGTTTTGTTTTGAAGTTGTTATCTTGTTTCTTTATATTGTTTGATCAAAACATTTTGGTTAATTTATTGTATTATCAAATAGTGAGTATTTTGAGGAATTGTAAGGTGAAGTTAGATGGATAATTAAAGTTTGGTTTATCCCTCATTCATACATTGAGGAATTGTAAGGTGAAGTTAGATACATATTTGCATACATTTATCCCTCATTCAGCATCATTCTGCATCATTTATGATCTTTTTTAGCCTTAGTTCAACTTAGATTTGCATCTTAGGATTCTAGGATATTGTTTGTACATATTTTTCTTTTTTTACCTTTTTTCAGGTGGTATATGTGCTTAAATAGAGTTATATGGCTATCAAGAGCCTTGAGGATTGAAATAGAATGCTGAGGAATAGAAGCCAGGGATAAAAGTGGGTTTAGAAGCTTGAAGAAGAAAGCAGAGGAGCAGATATCGGTCATCGCATACTAATGATGGCCGATAAACCGCACCTGGAACAGCGGGAAGATGGAGTCTCATCAGATACACTAAAGTTCGTGACTTGAGTCGAGAATCAGGATACCGGTTGCCACTAAAAATTAGAGCACCGATATGCCAGGTTATCCCCTTGTTACGATGGAGCACAAGACTATCTGACTGTTTGAACGAGGCACGGTATATCGGTTGATGCTGATACTAAAGACATCGATATTTCCTGATATCGGTATGAGCCGATAAAGAAGACTGATACTCTGCATCCGACTACGAACAATATCACGACACGACTGCGACACGATCGCAATGGACTACTGAAACGGCACTGGATATCGGTCACTTCCCTGATGTAGCAGTGACCGATCCTTCTCATATTTTATTGATTTTTTCGGGTCAACCATTGACTTCCGCCGGATGATCCGGTTCGAGATAGGTTGACCAAGGTACTGTTGTGAGGGGCTATAAATATGTTCTTAGCCTCTGAAAAACCTTAAGTTTTTCTCTTCGGACATTTTTAGTTTTTCTTTTACGTTTTATTTGTAATCACTCCTTAGAACATTAATATCTTGATGTTCTAAGTACTTAGCTTTATAAAATTTCAATCTTTCCTTTAAAGTTTCAACATTTACTCTTAAATCGTCTTCGTTTATGCATTTACGCTTCATGCATCACCCTAGCTCGGTCATGGCTTGTTCCATAGCCATGAGCGAGTAGTCTCTTTATTGAGTTACGGGTTAATAGATTTAGGGGTTTTAGAAAGTGGCTAACATCTCTTCGGCTTATCCATGACGTGTTCTCAAGCTTAGGTTCTTGGCTCGTTTCTCGAACCTTGTTGATAGGCGTTCCCCTGCCCAAAAGGTGTTTGTGGGAATGCCTGAATGACCTTTTGTTTGGCTCGGTAATCTTTGGCCACGAAAGTTGATGTCAAGGCGCCAAGTGAGCTTATTGGACTTGATCGGTCATGCTTGAAGAGTACCTAAATCTTGCAGTGAAAGTTAGTTAGATCTACGTACTGAACAAAGTAATTAGTACCACGAAAGTGGACTAATTTGATTAGTGTTTCATGCTTATGAACTGAGCTTTCAACTTAAAGTCCTTAGCTTTATTAGCCACGATTTATCGCCCCTTATCAGTTGCTAACTTGTTGCTCAATACTTTCCATATGATAACATTAAAACCCAGTCTTTGCTTTGATTAATTGTTACATTACTGCAATTTGATTTACCTTAGTTCAACTATATCCAACTTCTATTTATGCTTTAGCTTAATATAAATACTTCATGGTTTAGTACTCTAAATCCTAGTTTTCTTTGTGTTCGAACCCTACGCTTGCTACAATTGAATCACGAGTTAGGTTGCTTAGCTTGTTAGGATTTTATGTGATATATATGTTTGCATGCTAAATAAACTCTCATCAGTAATCCTTCTGAAAGGTGAAGCCAAAGAGAAATGAACAACACATTAAAGGATATCTCTCTGAGAGATCTCTAGAGGATTCGACTCTTCGGGAGAGAATTCCAACTCCACTCTCTTTAGGAATTGTTCCTTTTTTTTCTCCACTCAAACTACAATTAACACACGATTGATCATGATCTCCAGACAAGACAATAAATGAAACTCATATTTACTTCTCGATTAAACACTTTCTAGTGGATTTATGATTTGGGCGTTAGAGAGTCACTTGGAGAGAAACCCCTTGTCGTCCCCGAGATGGTGAAACTCCTTCCTGGTGCTCTCATAGCCATTCCTAAAAACGCCATAAAATTTATCGCATAAGATCTACAATTCCATACGGAAAATCCAAAATCTAATCCGAAGAATAATATATGACTACATTATTTTCTAAAATGGCAATATCTTGGTCGTATATAAATAAATCTATTGGGTAATGAATAGTCTCTATGCAACCAGTTTTTATGGAACAAGGTGACTCCCCGCGTTATACGCGGATTAAATTTATTCAAATCTTTAAATATAAAATAAATTAAAAAAACGTTAATTATAGTTAAAAAAAAATTAATTGTGTTCAATCTTTTAATATTGAACAAATTCTCACAAATCACTTCCAAAATAATTTATATTTGTGAATAATAGTATAAAAATAAAACATAATTCAATATGCATGACGATGTATGGCATTGTTTCGGTTTGTATTTGAATTTTAACAAAAGTAACATTTATTTCTCAACTAAGCTTTTAGGTCAAATTTTTTTTGTTAGATTCAATATTAAATTTGGATCTTTTGATTAAATATTGCTTAATAATAATATTATGTAAAAAAAAAATCCAAATTTTAGGATAATACATAAACTATAAAAATGGTCATGTTGAAGTTTTTTCCCTTATGTATAACTTTGTATATAAAATAAAAAGTTTATATATATAACTCATATTTTTCGTTTAATAAATATATATAGCCCATATTTTTTGGGGCAATTACAAAAATGCCACTTTTTGTGTGCACATTTGCAAAAATGCTACTTAGGGGTGTCCATTTACAAAAATACCACT